TCATATTATCATCCTACATATCTGAATTTTGATTTGGAAAATGCTGCAACTATTCACTGTCTCTTGTCAAAGTGAAGATTACTTCCGGGTAATCTTTGAACCTCTGTCTTCAGTGCATGCCATCAAGATAGGTGGTTGCATGCTATCAAGGTAGGTGGTTCTGGATATCCAGCCCGAAAACTAAGTTTGTTAGGTTGCATTTTCCTTTGCCCTTTCTAATGTGTGAGCTGTGAGCATTTTCTGGTTAATTGGAGTCGTTATTGATTGAGGTTGGGCTCTTTAGATGACTCAGACCTGATGTCATTAAACATAGGAGAGAAAAAAGCACATTATAACCAGTTGAAGCCCAAAAGTGAAATTAGATAATTGATGAATTTTAAGTCAGAATAGTTCAGGCATTATTTGAATCAAAGGAGAACCCACTTAATGTGAAAAGTGACTGCAAGCACCCAAGCTCTTCAAGGGTTCAGGGCTTAGATGTTGTGTTTGACCTCTCACCTGCCTGTTCTTTGAACCCATTAACCTTTGGCGGGATTTCAGCGGGAGCTGCTTTGATGGTCATTATTTTATTTTATTTGTGCTGTTCCCAAGTCTTCTTTCTTCATCCTGTAATGCTCATCTCTTTTTTGTTGTTTGAGCTTATTGTTCGTTTTTGTTCTTGCTAAAGCCAGTAGTTCCTTTCCCTTAGCCCTTCTTTGGTTAAAATGTTTCTCTGAAAAATCAAGTACATGTGAAGTTGTTTCTACTTGGAATTTACCTGAAGGGGACCCACCAAGATCCAAAACTCACATCAAAGGGAACTGAGGGAAGGAGCTGTGTCTGGATTGAAGCAGAAGAGAGAACAAACTTTTACATAAATAATTTATTTTGATTCTAGATTACAGAAGCAACTTATGTTTATTGTGGGAAAAATTGGATCTTTGTACAAACAGCTGCATCTCCTTCCGAGTTTTTGCGAATGCACATTTATGTGTATGTGTCTAAATTAGTTACATGTTAAGGTCATGTGTAATATTCACGTATGATAGATGGTTTGGGTCTTAAGTTTTAGTTTATCACATTTTCTCCACTAATAAATTTTCTTCTAAAGCATACTTTTTATCACATTACTCCTTCGGCTAGATGTAAGAAAGCTTAAATCTCTCATGGTATAAATAATGTTGTGACCAACATCTTTGCATGTATCTTTTTGTGCATTTTGATGGCTTTCTTAGGGTAATTCCTAGATGTGTATTTGCACCCCCCCCCCCAAAATGAGAGAGTGAACGAGGGCAGAGCGGATTTCAAATTTATTAGTGGCATGGGAGTGGTTATGGTGAGAAAGGAGTTTCCTTGACCAGGTTTTCTCAACTTCATCTGTCTCTTTAGCTGAATTTCAAAGACATAGTACAGCTTCGTAAATAATCTGCTTTTGCTTTTTTTTTTTTTTTATCTGATTTAAGAACTGTTTGGGTATATGTTTGGGTTTATTAGTGCATTTATGGTCAGTACTGCTATTTATTTCAGCCTGTGCTTTAAGGCTTGGTCATTAGTATCTAATGATTTTCTTCCATATTTTACTCAAATGCAGTGTTGGGCAGTGGACTATGCCTAAGTTTTAATGAATTAGAAATGCTCTGTTTATTCAATTTACATCAGCCATGTTATACTACATGGTGACAGCTGCTTACATCTACATGTCAGAATTTTGTCAGTTGTGGCCATCTGCCACATTTGGGGAGTCAGGAAATAAAATAGTCTCAAAACCACGGTGGAACTTCTGTAGTAACAATCCCAAGGCCAGTGTACTTAATTTTGTTAGGGAGAATATGTGTACAAAATAAGCTACATGTTACAAGATGTAAATATACACTAACAAGAAGAAGTGATGGCCAAAAGCGGGAAGGAACAACTACAACAAGAGGACAACTTAAAACAGGCATAAGAGCCTCGTGATCTCGGAAATGCCAAGGCAACACACCTCACTGATGGGTGTTTGTAAGTCTCATTCTGGATCATCAAGGAGATGCTATGTTGTGGTTAATATACATTGTTTAGTGTGATAGAAAAAATGTCCATTATAGCCTACCATGAACATGATTATATTAAAGCACATGTTTGGCCATTGAATACACAAGTTTCTGTTTCTCGATATTCAAAATGTGATTTGAATATGTGTGTATGTGTGTATAATTTGAATTATGATAAAAGGAGAATTATTGTGCCAATGACTTCTCCAAATAGAGACTTCTCTTATATCAGAAAAACTGAAAGCAACTCCAGTCTGACTCCAAAGTTTCTGTTTTTTTCCAGTATCACACGTAGTCCCCAAGTAACATCATCCCTTACACCCTTAAAGTGTTTCTCAGTAGAAATAAATATAATGGCAGTATTTTCATGAACTGTGAAAGGCAGTGTGCGGGGAGGCATATATTTTGGAGAATACACCAGGATATAATATTTCTATCTACTCACTGGCTTTTTTGGGGGCGGGGATTCATTGACAAAATAATTCTTAGTTCTTGCCCAATAAGCTTTACACTATTGGAAGAGATGGTTTGCCAGCATGATAAGAATGCTGGGGCTCCTGATATTGATGTCATGACCCACTAATCATTCATGACCCACAACTGAAAAATACTAGTATGGAAATAGAGTGTTTTATCCATCTAGGGGTAGATGGTTCCAGGGTTGGTTAATTCAGGGACACAATGATGCCACCAAAGACATAGGGGCTTTGCATCTTTCCATTTGTCCTTCCTGTTCATAATATGGTAGACACAGCTCCAAGCTTCATATCCTCAAATAGGTGGATCCAAAGACAGAACAGCACTCTTTGCTAGCATGAGTGTGTGTGTGTGCGTGTGTGTGTGTGTGTGTGTGTGTGTATTTTTCTTTTCTTTAATTAAATTCAATTAGCCAACATATAGTACATCATTAGCTACAGATGTAGAGTTCAGTAATTCATCAGTTCCATATAACACCCAATGCTCACCATATCACGTGCCCTCCTTAATGCCTGTCACCCAATTACCCCATCTCCCCACCCACCCACCGCCCCTCCAGCAACCCTCAGTTTGTTTCCTGTAGTTAAGAATCTCTGATGATTTGTCTCCCTCTCTGATGACTTCCCATTCAGTTTTCCCTTTTTTCCCCTACGATCCTCTGCTCTGTTTCTTATATTCCATGTATGACTGAAACCATATGATAATTGTCTTTTTCTGACTGACTTATTTCACTCGACATAATACCCTCCAGTTCCATCCACGTTGATGTAAATGGTAAGTGTTCATCCTTTCTGATGGCTGAGTAATATTCTGCTTTATATATAAACCACATCTTCTTTATCCATTCATCTGTCGATGGACATCTGGGCTCCTTCCACAGTTTGGCTATTCTGAACATTGCTGCTATAAACATTGGGGTGCAGGTGCCCCTTCTTTTCACTACATCTGTATCTTTGGGGTAAATACCCAGTAGTGCAATTGCTGGGTCATAGGGTAGCTCTAATTTTAACTTCTTGAGGAACCTCCATACTGTTTTCCAGATGTGTGGGTATTTTTTTAATTGGAAAATAATCTTTCCCCCCAGAAGCTCCTCCTCTCCTAGTGAACATTCCTTGTGGCCTCATTCACTGTTCAGGTTCCATCCCAACCCATCCCTCAACCAGTCACTTAGCAAAGGGCATAGATGCCATATTCGGTATGAATATGGTATGTTTTGGTAATTGATGCCATAATTGGCATGGAGGAGTGAACATTCATTCCCTGGGACAGGGGAGGGGCTCATCTGTCCTGAGTTTGTGGAAGGCCAGATGCTGGGAGCAATTCCAGCTCTGCCAACAAGGAACGAGTGGTGAGGAAAGCTATTGTGCAGCTAACTAAGCAAGTCTGCCATATTTGCCAGGGCAGTTTGACTATACTTCCGTCATAGTGTTAATGCTGCTAGGCCTTCTCTTGTCAGTATTTGTGAGCTTATTTTATCCCTTTGGTAGGTTCTAGATTTCTTAAGGATGGGAACTTACTGTTTTAATCAGGGCATGGAACAGTGCCTTACCTTAAAGGGTGACAAATAAATATTTACTAAATTGATTAGAATTGGTTCGTGTGAATTGATTAAAAGCTTTCTTACTTTTTTTATGGGATCTAAGTCCTTTTAAATCAAGTTATTTGTTTAAATATCAAGACCCTCCCAGTAAAGTTATGTTTATTCATTCCAGAAAATGATTAAGGAGCCTTGATCATAAAGGTACTGGAATAAAGTTACTGTGGGTGCTGTGTAATGTAAACCCTAAAAAGATTGTTTACAATTCTGTGTGGGTGTAGGAGGAAAAAAGGATTCAAATATAAATATCAGTGGGAAAGAAAACTTGTATTGAGTCCATTTTATGCATCTGTTAACATTTTGAAGACTATACAGTACAGTTTATCATCTTAAAAATTATTAAGTGAAAGAAATGACTTGTGTACAAAATCACTGTGATTCTCTATTTGAAGCTCCATTTAATAAAAGTTTTCTTAGGAAAAGTGATTACCCCAATAATGTAAAATTCAGTACATTATTATACATATCACATAATTTCGTTTAAAAATTCTTTTCAGTAGAATGAGATCAAAAGATTGGATTTTGGTTACTCATGTGGTGCAAGATATAAAACCTGTGTTCCAAGTCTTAATTTGTTTTGTAATATAAACATTTCTCAAGAGCTTTTTTTTTTCCAATTTAAAGAATTCTTCATATAAACTTCCCTTCATTTCATTTAGGTTCAGTGACTGTACATGTTCATAATTTTTCACTTTATCTACTATTATAACTACTTTAGAACCTTCTGGGGTTTTTTTAAAGGTTTTGAGGTAGTATACATTTTCCCTAAAAGGAAGAATCAGTCCTCATTTGCCTGCAGAATGGTCAGTTTTGTAGGTGTGAATGAGCAGTTCCTACCTTATCCAAGAAAAGCCATTAATAATACCTTCTCTGAAGTGACATGAAATTCTAAGCTTAAAGCAACACAAAGACGTGAATGATTTTTAAAACATTTTATTGTTTGCTAATGGTACTGATTTTTAGTTACAGAATTTACTAAGTGAAGGGAAGGCAGGCGAAAGGCGTTGTGTTCTTGTGTCATTCTGAAAAGCACCTGAAGTATTTACTTCAGTTCTCTTCTCATTTCCTGATGTCTTAATCCTTAAAAATAGTAACAAAAGGAAGAATTAAAATAATTTATAGATATTCCTAGTGAGGATCATTTACAATCACACATGTGGCTTTCATTTTGCCAGAATGATGTACCACCATGTAAGTTGAACTCTGTAATTTTCCAAGTTTCTTGGTTGTCTCCTTGTCATTGGAGAGGAAGTATCCAGAATGGACGTCCCTGCCTTCAGAACACTTCCAACTTTTACGTAATAATAAAATAACAATAGCTGCCCTTTCCTGAGGACTTCCTGCGTGCCAGGCTCTGAGCTCATCACTTGATCTTATTTTCTGTAAAACAACTCTAAGAAGCTACCAATATGGATACTCTGATTTTACACAGGAGTTTTAAAGTGTTCAAACTACTACCTGCCCAAAGTCACCTTTCCAGAAATAGCTCTGGCAAGATGTGAGCACATTATAAAGTTCATGGCCTTAATCATTAATGAAATGATGAATAAATGCATGTTCTAGACAGAGGGAACAGTACCTTAGACTAGAAGAATCAACAAGAGGCACCAAATTATTTGGGATACAATTTCAAAAGTTCTGCCCCATATTCTCCACAGATATGCTCCTCATTGTGAAGCCATATATGGCATACACTATAATTTTTTGTTGGGAAACTATGGCATTTGTACTTGGACAGAGGCTGGAAATTATCGGAGGTAGTCACTTTCTCTTCTTTTAAAAAAGGGAAAACACTCATAAATTTGAAGTAACTGGTACAATACCGTTTTCTCTTTGGAGGCAAAGCCAGAACTGGAATGTGGGTACCCTAGCCCCCCATGCGGGTCATTTCCACCTCACCTCTCACTGCTTCTCAGTAGAAAGTCATCAATAGCATTTATAACTTGGAATTACATATGCAGTGGAATTACATAATCTCATATACACAGAATAAGGGTTTATGGATATGGATATGAGTCATTTATTTTATTGGCTTCTTCCCACTCATTTGGAAGAACTTTCTGTAATGCAATTAATTTTGTGCTTAGTTGTGTGAAAACTTCTTGCTGAAAGTTTAATCTATAGAACCAAGCACTGAAAAGGAATCTAATAAACTGTCTAGCTTCCTCCAACTTAGATTAAAATCCACCCTAGGCAGGTAACCTTCCTTTAAAGAGATTAAAGAGGTCTTCACAGAGATTTCCCACCTACTTTTTGTAGCCTGTTCAAATATTTACATCCCCCCTCAAAAATTACCCCCCCCTTTTTTTTAAATCTTCAGTGCAATTCTAGCCTATTCTTGCTAGTCAAACCCTTGAAATATAAGGAGAACTGATATTTCCTTATACTGCTCTCCTTAAAATTAATGGGTTTCAGTAATACATATTCTGGGAGAAATTCAAAATAATCATAGAAGTTAAACTCACCATAAAAACTATGGTCTTAATTACTAAGCTTCATAGATAAGCTTACTTATAATAAAAAGTTACAACACATGCTTGGACTAATAGAGTCATTGACCTGTGTAGCTACTGAAACTCTAGACCCTGGATTGTTTGAGAACTTAGAACTCTGGGGGCCATTTTGCTTTACCATTTTCCCAGTTGGCAGAGTGGCTTCAAGGGATACTCACCACTTCCTCCCGCTTGGTCTTGTCTGTTGCTGGCCAAGCTTCCAGAGGCAGGTCAGGAAGCATGGGGGGCAGGGGCTGTATGGGGAACATCGGAGGCAGAGGTGGCTGTGGCGGCAGGGGCTGGATGGGGTGCATGGGTGGCTGGGGCTGGATGGGCTGGTGAGGCTGTGGCTGGACGGGCTGGGGCTGGAAGGGCTGCTGGGCAGGCAGAGGGAGGTTTGGCTGGTGGTGTTGGGTTGGAGTCATGGAGTGTTGGCCAGGAACTGGCATCATTGGTTGCTGGGGGACCACGGGCTGCTGAGCTGGCACCATGGGGATGTGGTGATGAGGCTGCAGGGCGTGATTCGGGGGATTCTGCTGGGACAGCACGGGAATGATTTGGTGGTGCAGCCATCCACCCATGGGTTCGTAACCATAGGAAGGGTACTGGTGAGAAACAAAGAGTCAGGTTTACCATTGGCTCCATTGACTTCCAGCTGGAGAAGTAGTCGTGTTTTCTTTGTCATCGTTACTATGACTATTTATTCATTTTTTTCCTGTGCAAGAATTTCTAACTGTGTACACAGATACGATCTTTTACAGACTAGATTTTCCATTAGTGTCTGTATGTGGCATAGATATGTTATTTCATTTAAAAGGGAATTGAAATGCATGCTTAATATTTTAAGGGACTAAAGAAAAAAATATCTACATACCGGATGCCTTATCATGTTCTGGTACCACTTCAGGGGGGTAAGCACCTTAAGAAAAAGAGACATTGGAATACATTTGCTTTAATTTCATTGCATGAAATGCACTCATTGATGCAGTCCTGTCAATATTGATAGCCTGAAAGTATGAGTTCTATAGAAGGAAGAATAAAGTAAAACATTTGTCAGGTGCTTCCTAAGTGTTAGGCACTACATTACATCCATCACACACATTTTTCATGTGTTCTCACATACTGTGAGGCAAGTCCTCACCCTCACTTTTACAGACTAGGTCATGGGGAGTTAAAAAGGTTCATGAGCTTGATCAAGTTCACAAAAGTAGTAATTCTGTTGAATTCCACAGCACCTGCTCTTTGCAAGAGCAAACCAAAACAAATTAATGTGATATAACATTAGTCATATCACTTTTGAGTTGACGTCACAATGAAAAAATAAAGAAGAGGCAGAAAATCTGTCCCTCAGCCTAGAAACACAGGTTTTCTGGTCAAATATGTCAGCCTTTTAAGGTTTCACAGAAAATCTTGCCTCAAATTGTTATTCACACTTTTCCTCAGCTTGTATGAGTAAACAGACTCACAGATTATTATCTGAACCTTTGAAAGAAGTAAGAGTTCCCTTCCTCCCTAAACAGTATATACTTGGTGAACCTCAGTTCTGGGGACACCTTCGTGTTGTAGTACAGCGTTTGATATTAATACAACAAACAATTACTAACCTTGCTCAAATTGTACTTGACGAAACGCCTTTTATATTGCTTAACTCTTTTGCTCCTCAAGCCATATTTTGAAGTGTGGGTGCTATAATTATTTCCCTTCTCCAGATGAGGAAACCAAAGTTTTAGAGAGAGAAAATGATTTGCCCAAGGTCGCGTGATTAGTACGGGGTTGAGGAGAGCCTCAAACCTGATTTCCAGAAATCTCATGCTTTCCGTTGCTCTGCAGAATGTCTCACAAACCCCTTGGTCAGTGATCACTGATCTTTCAGTAAAGATGAACAAAGGAGACACATAGAGTGTGAACATCTTAGAATTAGGAGTTTCTAGCTGGAAAGGATCTTAACGTCTTACCCAACTCCCCCACCTTTCACAGGCTGGAATAGAACAAAGCTGTTCAGCCAGAGTTCACTTTCTGCCCTACCATGCAGCCCCACCCTGAATGGTAATTCATGATGGATAGCTTTATAGCCATATAAGGAGGAGAAACTGAGTCAGAGAGGCCAAGTAGGAGTGTGCTGGGGCAGTGCAGCCTTGAGGCAACCCATCAGGGCTTAAACCAGGAAGCTGGTAATGGGAACTGAAAGAGCAGGACTGAGAAACATCTTGAATAAAGAATCAACACACTATTCTCTACAGAGCCCAGGGCATTGTTAACTCAAACAATGGTCAAAATTAGTAAAGAGAAAAATTACCTCATAGCTGAAGTTGATATAACCAGGGTGCCCAGGATGAGGTGGTAGCTTTTATAGAGGGGAAAGGAGAAGAAAAAGAAAGAGGGAGAGGGAGAGAAGAGGGAGGGGGGGAGAGGGAGAGAGAGGGAGAGAGGGAGAGAGGGGAAGAGATTAAGTCAATATGCAATTGTTCACATTAAGAGAGACTGAAGCTACTTTAAAAAAATCTATATGGTGCAGAATATATTTGAGGTCTACTTTTCGTTTGAACATGTACTCTGTGTAGGAGAGGAGCCCTCTCATTTTAAAGAGGTCCAGAGCAACTAAATGACTTTCCCAAGACCGGGAAGCAAAACCCAGCACCCATTTATCCTCCAGTGATCTTCGGACTCCCGCCCCCCCCCAACCATGTCTTCAACTAATCCTACTCTCTCCCGTCCGCCATTTTACGTCTTAACGCAACGCACTCCATGTTGGAAGGAGAGATGGGTTTCTCTTACACAATTATGAAATACCAAAAGAAGAGAACTGTCTCACAAACCTTCCCTTATAGATCAGGAGGTGGGTAAGTGCTTCAGTATGGAAGAGAGTCCTCACAATTGGCATGCAAAGCACATCGACAACAGAAGCAACAACTACCTGTGAGTTTTCTTGATGAGTGTGCGGAGACGGGTGCAGTAAAGTGGAAACGCTGTAAGTCCCATGGAAAGTGAAGGACTTGGTTTATGAAATTTAGACTGTTTCTTTTTATGATTCTGTCAAAGTTTTTATGGCAGAAAAAAATTTGAAGTGACTGATGCCTGCATTATGCAATGCCAGTTGGCCCTGGAGTGGGGGAGAGGGAGAGGAGAGAGGACTGTGCAGACTCTCCTTCAGACATCAGGCTAATTAAGGCTCTATTATTTTTAAATGCTCATATTTTATAAGAGGGTTTATTTGCTCTCATCTGAATATGAATTCTTTTAGTCAGGTAACTGCCTTTTGTATACCTTCTTGACATCAGCCCTCAGGGAGTAGGGTTATTCAATTGAGGAGTGGATAAAGGGCTCAATTTGTAATGCAGAGGCCCCTCAGGGGACTAGAAATTGCCACAATGCAGGATTTCAGGAAGGCAGAGCACAGAACCTTGGTCTTGTGGGCGAGAGAGGAAGAGAGGAGGCAGATATACAAGCTTTGTTGGCTTCTGGTTGTATCAACTGCTCTCTATGCCACCGAAAAGCAGCTAGGTCCTGCTTTGCCTGCGTGGGATCTCACTCTCTGACCTTATGTGACCTGTGTCTAAAGAGAATGGGTCAGACTTCCTGGTCCTTGGTACATTTGAATATAGAAGATATCCACACGCATTGGGCATAGGTAGGATTCTGGACAACCATACGGAAGCACCCATGTCCTTAGCAGGTGCACCCAAAGGGATGCGGCCTCTGACAACAAGGAGATGGTTCAAGAAGGAAATTCCTAACATAGAAACCTTACCCTCTGAAGGATAACAGGCAGTAGAGTTTGTAGGGCAGGAAGAGAGTTGGACACTCGTGAGAAATTGGGTTTTCGACAAAACTGACATTTTTGTAGTATTTGCCTAAGGCTGGTTGAGCACTTTCTCTGGAGGCCTTTCGAGGGTCCCTCCCAAAAGTTTCCTCCATCTAGAGATGGGCGATGATATTTACGAGCTAATTGTTTCCACAGAATCTCCTGAGGTGCTTGTTAAAATGCAGAGTCCTGGGCACTAGCCCCACTCCGGCTGTTCTGAATCCGAGTCTGGGGTGGCACCTGAGGATATTTTTTTTATATATATATATAACAAGCTCTTCCAAGTGTTTCTTAAACACAGAGACATTTGAGGACATCTGATCTTGTACTGCCTTAAACCCTAAAGTTTATCAACTGTAGGGCAGATTTTTATTTCCGAGCTTGTGAAATTGGATATTGACATTTGCAGGGGTGTTTTACTCACGGGCATAGCAAAGGCTGCTCCCAAGAGGCAGGCAAACAAAATCCAGGTCCCCATGTCTTGATGGCCCTGAAATAGAAGTTGACACTTTTAAAAAAAATCTTTTTGCAAATATGGACATAATTAATGCTCCATAAAATCCACTAATCCATATTAGTCCGTTGCCAGTAAAAAGGATGGGACCACTTTTGTGAGGTTGCTTCATTCACATGTGATTTCCAGTTCTGAGCTCATTTCATTGCTTTTGGAATCCCGATAGTGATAAGGATACTTCTCATTTCGGCTGAGAGCAGAGCACAGCGTAGCGATGTGACTCTATCATTAACGTGATTTGGTGTGCTATTTTCCCCTACCTGTGCAGCCTGGGGAGTCCTAGAAGCTAGATGTAGTTTATAATTAATGATCACAAGAATGGAGTTGGCTCTAAAAGCTGTGCAGGTCTTCAAGGTGCACAGTATTTGATACTTTTAGAGCCAGGAGGGCACAAAAATTGTTTGTTTTTTTTGTACAGTCCACCTGAGCATTGCTACTGTTAAAAACAAAGACGAATCATCTGAGAAAAAACATGAAAATAATCTATCAAAATAGAGTAAGGAAGGAGTGGAGGGAAGTTCCAGGTGTTTGGACTGGTAGGACTTCCAGCAGACATCTCTGAGCTCCAGATGTGGAGCAACAGGTGCAGTTGAATGGAAGGGAGAAGACAGTGCTAATACTTTGTGATTATTCCGTGAATTGTGAATGACTGCTCCTTGAAATTTTCCATATTTAGTCAATGACATCTTCCTTTTTGTTTGGCCCGGCACTGTAATAATACACTTTATGACCCTTGGGACACGAAGCAAAACAGGCCATCCTAAAATATGCACATTGCTTTGTGGTACAAATTGTTGACTATGAAAGCTGTCAGAAGGATCTTAAATTTTGCAGAGAAAGTGAGTACCGTGTGTAATAATGCTGGCTATAAAAAGTGCACTGATGTTTTCTACCTCCTAAATCTGTTGAGGTTTGGATTAATGAGAAAACACCACATTTAGTTAATGGTTCTATTTGATGTAATTAAACAAAATGCCTTTTAAAGTAGTAGATGACAGCCTGTGAAAAAAAATCGCTTTTATCTTAATTGATAAGTAATTAAAATAAATATTTTGCTGTGAGATTTGGCCCTGAAAAGTGCTTTGGGATTCTGGAAGTAAAATTTTAAAAAATACAGACACTTTGCTGCATTAGGAAGTAAAATAATTCATCTAAGTAATCAGAGTCTAATTTAATTATGGTCCGACTGAACAAGTAACCGAATATGACAGCATAAAGTATTAGAAATGCAGAATACATTTGCATCTTTTGTACATGAAATGCAGAAAAAGAAATAAGCACGATAGAAAGGATACCGAGTGAATAAAATCCACGTACCTTTGAGTATGCGTATTCAGAGGAAGTTTCTGTCTGAAACTCAGGGATGCTTGATCCTTTAGATTTCTTCCAACTAAGAGCTCAATTTATATCATTCATGGCATCTAGAGCAACCAATCAGATGTCTGAAGGAAAATGTGTTGAGTATAACTAAAAACCCCTGTATCATGAAGTTTTTAAAAACTGTGATCAAACAGAAGGCTACATGTTGTGATTAGTGCATAAAGAGTCTTTCATTATGGGCAATAATAGGTTTAACAGGCAAAAAAATTTCATCAGACTGTTTTTAAGTCAGCAAATCAGTTGACTGCACATGCTGATACATTCAAAGTTACTTTTAAGAAGTGGCTATGTCATTGTCTGTTCCCTGGTTCTAGCAAACATAACATTGTTCTTTACCCAAAAAAGCTAGATTGTTGAGTTTCTGTAGTGTAATCCACATGTCCCCTAGGGCTCCCCAGCTCTTTCAGATCAGGATAAGTTGATTCAAACCCCCATTCTGGTAAACCCCCAAGGCTCTCCCCAGTATTTCTCTGAGGGATTTCTAGGTTTGGGATCACCACTGCTCTGTTTTTTGCTTTCACTGAAAGTATTTTCTCTGAAAGTATTTTCTCTGTTCCCTGTGGCCGTTCCTTTGTCACCATTCTGGTGTCCACGGAAAGAGGGGACAAAGTCTCTTCTCCTTGGCCCCATCCTACCACCCATCTGCCCTCCAAGCAACCACGAACTCAAGATGATCACAGTAGCAAAACTTGTGCTGATGATCTGAAGGACAAGGCAGGAAAGGATGTCACGCACCAGACCGCACACTTAAACACTGTGTGGGGGACATTGCCCTGGCTCCCCCATCCCACAGAACAACTCAGCCTCTCTCAGTACGATGGTCCTCCTTTGCCCACATTCTTCTGGCCCAATCCCACTTTCTCTTATGAACAAATCCAAATTTCTCTCTCTCTTTCTCAGAGCCTCTTAACTTCCCTGTTAAGTGCATTGTTCCCATGTTCTCAGCAGCCTCTCCTTTGCCTAAAGGACAGCAACCAAAGTTCTTCTCTTGCTAAGAGGACCTCTGATCTAGCTATTCAATTTGTTTGTCTTTTCCTCTTCTACCTTAGTAAAGCATATAGATTTTTTCCTGTTGTTCTAGCATCTGATCAGTTAAAAAGCAAATCTGTAACTGCTGATGAGAGGTAGCTGCTGAACTGTCTATCAATATTAGATCAGTACAGGGAATACTGAATATATATACTCACACACTGTTGGTGGTATGGCCAGATCTCTTTTACTACTTAAGTAATATTTAAAAAAAATTTTTTTTTAAAAAGATTTCATTTATTTATTTGAGAGAGACAGCACAAGCAGGGAAGAGGGCAGAGGGAGGGGGAGAAGCAGGCTCCCTGCTGAGCAGAGAGCCCGACGTGGGGCTCCATCCTAGGACCCCGGGATCATGACCTGAGCTGAAGGCAGTTGCTTAACCGACTGAGCCACCCAGGTGCCTCTACTTAAGTAATATTTTTAGAGTTTGTACAGGTACATATATTTTTATATACACACTCCACACTGGCTGAATTAAATTCAAAGACAAAATACCCATGAAAAGCAATGTAGTACTATTAAGAACTGGAGCTTAGACTTACATGGGTCTTGACCCCAGGGGACCACTGACAAGATCCTTAGCCTATCTTAGCCCCAGTTTCCTCATCAGTAAAATGGGGATAATTATAGAATCTACCTAAAAGGATTAGTGTGAAAACTAGATGAGAGGCATCTCTAGGGGAGATGAAAAGTTATCCTTCTCCCAACCCCATCACTTGGCACACAGTAAATGTTTAAAAAATGCTAATAAATAAGATTATAAGTCGATCTTTGCAGATGAATTAGTAGGGAAAAAATAACCATGGTGAAGAAAGGTAGATCTTTCAATCAGAGAGAGAGAGAGAAATCGCAGAGAGGAAAGTGGAAGGCAAAAGGTATGAGTGAAAGTCAGTGTAGAATATTGTTCTAAAAGCCAGTTGTGTCCAGGGTTTGCATTTATTTATGAATATGTTTATTGGTGAGTTGTAGATCAGAGGCAAGAAGGATTCCTTCCCTTTGAAGGAAGTTGTGAAATGGATTTTAAGAGAATTGGCATCAGCTTACTTAGAGGCGGAGGAGGTGGGGAGTGTGCAGCAAAGTGGTGCGCGAAAGGAGGAGGGAGAGGAAGGGCAATGTAGATCACATCATATTCTTTTTCAATCTTTTTCTTATTTATTTATTTATTTAACATGTAATGTGTTATTTGTTTCAGGGGTACAGGTCTGTGATTCATCAGTCTTACCCAATTCACAGCGCTCACCATAGCACATACCCTCCCCAGTGTCCATCACCCAGCCACCCCATCCCTCCCACCCCCCTCAATTTCTTTTTCTATTTTATTTAATTACGTATAATGGTGTCCAAAAAGATTCAGGACATATTTTTCCTGCAAAGTTGTGGTTCGTCTCTACTAATGAAGTCATTGGTGAACTATTAGTGGTCTTAGAGTGTTACAAAATTTATCTCATTACTTTGTGTCCTGTTTCAAGAATGAGAGACTCATGTATTTGTCCACAAGGATCAACAGAAAGATCCCTTATTGTGGCATTAATTTCTCCGGTCCACTGGCTAGTGAGTTACTGCCAATTCACCATGGACAGTTGTTTAGGCTTTGATGGCAAATACAATAGAAACGATGTGGTTCTTTCTGTTTATTTTCTCCCACTGCATATTCTGAGTCATAGGGTGTTAAAATATGGATCTCTCTGCTGAAATTTCTTCCACTAATTTAGGTCCCGCATATGCAGTTTAAAAGTTAATGTTTGGGGCGCCTGGGTGGCTCAGTCGTTAAGCGTCTGCCTTCGGCTCAGGTCATGATCCCAGGGTCCTGGGATCGAGTCCTGCATCGGGCTCCCTGCTCAGCGGGGAGCCTGCTTCTCCCTCTGCCACTCTCTCTCTCTCTCTCTCTCTCTCTGTCTCTTATGAATAAATAAATAAAATCTTTTTTAAAAAAGTTAATGTTTGGGGGGGAAATTTCAATTGAAAGTCTTTTTCTATAGGCAATTATTTCATTTATGAATACATTGAGTTTATAAAAGAAAACAGAATTTACTAGATCGACTGCTTATTTTGTTCTGTAGAGGCTGTAACTTTCCAAAGTATTTGTGTTCTTGTTTTTCTTGCTCTTTGATGTCAAATATTGTCTTCTCTTTTTTAAAAGAATTGCTATTTAAAAAAATGGATCATAAGCATAAAGTATTTTTCTCTCTGGCATTATCCCTGGAACAACTGTGACAAGATGACCCGAGAAGGTGTCTTCATTCACTTAGGCATTCATTCCAAATACATATGTTGAATACCTAAGAACCTGAGACCATTCGTATTACTATAGTGGACAAATATATGCATAAATTGATTATCATTTCTAAAAGCTTTTCTCCAAAATGATGAGTGAATAAACACCCTTGTGGATTACAGGTTCCCATTCTTGCTTAGTGAGAAGAAAGAGCGTCCAAGAAAGGGTTATAAAAAAATCACACTTGGGACACCTTCTGGCCCAAAAACATCTGCTCTGAAGTCCTTCCTGAGGCCTGTAGGATCGAGCAGGGCTGCAAAACATGCAACTCGTGTGGAAGGACCTCAGGCTGGGAAGCCTTCTACTGTTTTGGCACAAATCAAAATCCAGATGGTCCCTGCTGGTGGTCAGATTTGAGGGAAACCAGGGGTTAATCCTGGGCAGCAGGAATCTGACCCACCACCATTATGTCTCCTCACGTGGCCCTAATTGGATACGTTTAATGAAGGGAGGCCATGGTAGTCAAGAGTCGAAGCAGTCTGGAGCTCTGAGAGGAAGCATGTCTTAAATGTCTTCACCCTCCGCAACGCCTGGCTTCAAATAGTAGGCACTCAACAACAACAACAGATTTTATGGTTATTTCTTTTCCTCGACTCGCAGCTCATCACATTTTGCTGTGTCCATGTTGCTGATGCTAACAGCTTCTCCCCTCCTAATTTGCTGCTTCTAATTTACAGTGTGCTGGGAAAATCTGATGGCCAAGCTTGTTAGAATTATGTGTGGACTGCACGTAAAGAGATGCCCTAAATGGTGTGGGCTCGGGAGGCTCACTTGTGTGAAAAGCTCAAACGTTTCAGTCTTGTGGCCTTGCTTTTTGACTGCTGGGAGGAGGTTTTGTTTTGTTTTGGGGGTTCTCCCCCTTTGCTTAACTTCCTGGTTTTGAGCAGTGATTGAGGCATGTAGGGGATCTTCAGATAAGTCAGGTGTTAGGAGTTCCAGAAGCCTTTCTTATCATCTAGGGGAGCTCAACTCTCAAATCTTATTGTAAACCAGGTTCAGGATTGTCCAATATTCTGGAATAATTTCAAGAGTGAGTATGCTTAAGTAACTGGAGCCAAAGTCAGTTTTTAAATGTTTCTTCTGTGGACATTTATTTATAAGAAAATATTATTCTCTAGGCTGCTATTTTTGTTTTGTTTTGTTTTGTTTTTTGCTGTAGTGGAGTTGTACCCTCTTCAGAACTCAGGTACACCGCCACTAAGTGATTCCAGTAAACACAGTGACTTCCCTTTGCAACCCATGGAAGTCAGATATTGTGTCTTATACTTTCTTGGGAACTCTTTGTTATCTAGAAAAATCTCTTTTACAAGCTAGGTGCTAGATGAATGGTTGATTAATTGAATAAAATATAGAGAAGTTATCCGTGACATTATGAAAATACATAAAAAAGTCCTTGACCTATGTGGATTCTCCATAGACAAAGAAATCTTGATATCTTGATTCAGTGATTTTGATGGGCCTTTTAGACAGCTAAGATGGATGACTCAGCGTCACTGTCAACTCTTCCTATGGATTTTCAAGCAAATGGCTTCTAACAAGAACCTTCAAAGGGAGATACTGTAAAAGGTTTCCAATCCATTATCCTAACATCCTTATTATATTTGGCTCTGACCTGTTAGTTCAAACTATAATTTACTATAAGGAAATATACTATGGTAGATCCACTTGATCTTATTTGTGACTGAGCTTGTTTGCTTAAGACAATAAACCTTATTAATTTTTTTAAAG